ATGGCTTTAATCGGTGCCCGTTAACTTTGAAAATATGTCCCGTTTCTTCACTTTGGATTTCCACCGCTCCATGGTCAAAAGTCTTTATTACAACAAATGGGCCAATCCACCTTGATCTTAATTTGCCCGGGAATAACTTCCCTATGTCCCAGTTCAAAATTCTTCCGGGTGATGGACTTGTCGTGGAAGAGCTTCGTTTTCTCCTTATAAATCCTTGCGTTTTCATAGGATTCGTTTCTCAATTCTTCTAACTCTTGGAGTTGAAGTTTCCTATGCCTTCCAGCCTCGTCAATGTCGAAGTTGCATTTCTTGACCGCCCAAAATGCTCGGTGCTCTAACTCGACGGGAATATGACAAGGTTTTCCGAATACTAATCTGAAGGGCGACATTCCAATCGGGGTCTTATAAGCGGTCCGATATGCCCATAAGGCATCGTCAAGTCTCAAACTCCAATCCTTCTTTGTCGGATTCACCGTTTTCTCTAGAATAGACTTCACTTCACGATTCAAGACCTCCGCTTGACCATTCGTTTGAGGGTGATAGGCAGTGGAGACACGATGAGTCACATGATACTTCTTCAATAGAGCCTCCATCATTTTGTTGCAAAAGTGTGTCCCTCTATCACTAATCAAAGCCCTAGGCACACCAAATCTCGCAAAAACATTAGACTTTAAAAACTCGATAATTGTTTTGGCATCGTCCGATCTTGTGGCTTTGGCTTCAACCCATTTAGAAACATAGTCAACCGCGAGTAAAATATAAACGTTGCCAAATGATACGGGAAATGGGCCCATAAAATCGATCCCCCATACGTCGAAAATTTCACAAACAAGGATTGGATTTTGGGGCATTTGGTTCTTTTGCGAAATGTTTCCCGTCCTTTGGCACCGCTCACAACTTTTGCAAAACATATAACTATCGCGTGACATGGTTGGCCAAAATAATCCACATTCAAGGACTTTTCTCAAAGTCCGGCTAGGTCCGAAGTGTCCCCCACAAGCAAATTCATGACAAAATTGCAAAATGGATTGGTGCTCTTGTTGGGGCACACATCGCCTAATGATTTGATCGGGACAATGTTTCCACAAATAAGGTTCATCCCACACATAGTATTTTGCATCACTTTTCAACTTGTCTTTTTGAGAACGCGTGAATGTGTCGGGATACCTTTTTGTGACCAAAAAGTTAACGATATCGGCATACCAAGGAATAGATTGGGTAAGGGAAAAGAGATGCTCATCCGGAAACTCGTCCCGCAATGGGAGAGGAGTTTCATTTGAAGTGATCCGACTTAGATGATCGGCAACGAGGTTCTCGCATCCGCTCTTATCCCGGATTTCCAAGTCAAATTCTTGTAACAGTAGGATCCACCGGATGAGTCTCGGCTTTGCATCTTTTCTTCGTCATCAAGTACTTAAGAGCTGCGTGATCCGAATACACTATGACCTTGGTACCAAGTAGGTATTGTCTAAATTTCTCCAAGGCGAACACTATGGCCAATAGCTCCTTCTCCGTGGTAGAGTAGTTGCTTTGGGCATTGTCTAGTGTCCTTGATGCATAATAGATCACATGGGAGGCCCTCCCATTCTTTTGACCCAAAACGGCGCCAATCGCATAGTTGCTTGCATCACACATGATCTCAAAAGGGAGATCCCAATTTGGTGCTTGCATGATGGGAGCGGATGTAAGCAACTCTTTGAGCTTGTCAAAAGCTTCTTTGCACGCCTCATTGAACTCGAAATCGACCTCCTTTTGCAAGAGTTGGCACATTGGTCTTGTTATCTTTGAAAAATCCTTGATGAACCTTCGGTAGAAACCTGCATGGCCCAGAAAAGAACGAACTTCCCGAACACAAGTCGGGTAAGGTAAGCTTTGAATAACATCAATTTTGGCCTTATCTACCTCAATTCCTTTTTTAGACACAATGTGACCCAAAATGAGACCTTGACTCACCATGAAATGACATTTCTCAAAATTCAAAACCAAGTTTGTTTCAATGCATCTTTTTAAAATTTTTGTGAGATTAGTCAAACATTCTTGAAAAGAGTTGCCATGTACCGTGAAATCATCCATAAAAACCTCAATTATGTTTTCAACATAATCCGAAAAGATACTAACCATACAACGTTGGAAAGTGGCCGGGGCGTTACACAATCCAAATGGCATTCTCCGGTATGCAAAAGTACCAAATGGGCATGTAAATGTTGTCTTTTCTTGGTCTTCCGGTGCCACCGGGATTTGGTGAAAACCAGAGTACCCGTCTAGACAACAATAATGGGATTTCCCGGCCAACCTTTCTAACATTTGGTCAATGAAAGGCAATGGGAAATGATCTTTTCGTGTGCTCGCATTGAGTTTGCGGTAGTCAATACATACTCTCCACCCGTTTTGCACACGGGTGGGACCATCATACCTTTGTTGTTCTCGACCACCGTGATTCCCGTCTTCTTTGGAACGACTTGCACCGGACTCACCCACTTGCTATCCGAGATTGGATAGATCATCCCCGCATCAAGAAGCTTTAATATCTCTTTCTTCACGACTTCCATCATTGGTGGATTTAGCCTTCTTTGCGCGTCTCTACTTGGCTTGCATTCATCCTCCATTAAGATCTTGTGCATACAAGTGGAGGGGCTCAAACCCTTGATATCCGCAATCGTCCAACCCATGGCTTCTTTATGCTCCTTCAACACCTTGAGGAGTTGCTCTTCTTCAAATTCGGTTAAATGAGTTGAGATGATAACCGGAAGGGTTTCATTCTTTCCCAAGTAGGCATACTTCAAGTGTTGAGGTAAGACCTTTAATTCCAATTCGGGTGGTTGAACAAGGGATGGAGACAATTTTGTATGAGTTTGGGACAATTCAATTTGCTTGACATCTAATCTTGTGGATTTTTTCATTTCCATTTTATTTACCAACTTCTCAACTTCCGGATCCAAAGAATAAAACTTTAATTGCTCGGCTAGCTTCCCACAATCGAATCCTTTGCTTAAGATCATCTCCAACATATCACCGTTAGATAACTCAAACAATTCTTGAGTAATTGGCTCAACAACATCAACAAAGTACAAAGATGAAACATCACTAGGATATCTCATGGCATCATAAATATTAAAACTTATTGTTTCACCATCAAACTCCATTGTCAAACTTCCCGCATACACATCGATCTTTGTCCTAGCCGTCTTCAAAAACGGTCTCCCAAGCAAGATTAGAGCCGATTTGGAAGACACTTGCTCATCTAGATCAATCACATAGAAATCCGCCGGGAAGACTAATTGGTTCACTTGCACTAGGACATCTTCTAAAACACCTCTAGGAAAGACACTTGATTTATCCGCAAGAGAGATTATGACACCGGTTTCACTTAAGGGTCCGACATTTAATGATTCATACACTGAATAGGGCATGACATTGATAGAAGCACCAAGATCAAGCATAGCACTACTAAAAGTGACATCTCCAATCTTGCAAGGAACCGTGAACATTCCGGGATCTTTGCATTTGGGTGGAAGTTTCCTTTGTAAAACCGCGGATGCGTTTTCATTCATCAAAATTTTCTCATTTCCCTTCAACTTCCTCTTGTTGGTACAAAGTTCTTTCAAGAACTTTGCATATCTCGGGATTTGCTTGATTGCATCAAGTAGAGGGATGTTTACTTCCACCTTTCGGAAGGTGTCCAAAATCTCTTTCTCCTCCATATTCTTCTTTGAAGTTGCAAGTCGAGAGGGGAACGGTGGTTGAGTGGCTATTGGTGTTACTAGAGGGATGGACTTCTTTGGAACTCCGGCTTGTGCATCGTTCTTGACTGTAGGTTCTTCAATGGGAATGATCTCTATTTCTTCCTCTTCTTCCCTTGGCTTCTTCTTTGAACTACTTTCTCCGCTTGCTTGCCACTTCTCAAGGTCACCACATTGACATTTGGGTTCTTTTCGGTTTGAGAAGG